AACGGACAGAGTCTGTCGGACTGGGGTTTGGGGGCAACTTTAAATACACCTCCAGGAACATGGAAGGAACATGGAAGCATGAAGCTCAAAATTGGACGATCCTTGCGATTTCATTGCGTTATAATTAGCGTTGCGCGAATTTTCCCACGACCAATCTCTGCTGCGGGTCGATTGTTGAATCGTTATCGAATGACCTTGATCGATAACTCTCTATCTTAACAATGCTATATATCGATGAAGGTCATTCGATAACGGTTCAACAATCGAAGAACGAATCGCGAAACGAGCGCGAGCGTCTTTCCTCTCCGGTGAAATTTATTACGAGGTAAGTGAGTGTTTTTCATATTTCTCGTGCCTCCGTCTCACCTCAGATGAAGCATTGCGAGTCAAAGGAGGCTTACGAATATCTAATTGGTTTCATTAAAGTTTCGTTTCGAGCGCTGAGCCGAGCGGCGGAGGACTATCCGTGCAACCGAAGCGACGCGACGCCACGCCAAGCCGAGAGGTGGCATTCTTCAGCTCCGGGCGATTCTAGCCCGGGTTTCAGCCTGTAATGCTCTAGCGCTGTTGCCAGATGTCTCTGGAAAAATCAGTACTTTTCCTCATTTAAAATGATACATAATATCCATAATTAATTGGACAACCTGGCAGCTTCGCTAAATGTGACGTCATCTACGTAAACCGTCTTTAACTTCACAACCCTGGTTCAAGTTGTCACTGCCATTGAATACACCAATTTAGTAGCTGCGTCATTTGGACGTCTTTATGTTAAAAGGAACTACGTGAAAATGAATTAAATGAAAGGAACATGGCTTTTTGCAGAAAGTAAGAAAGTAACAAACTTCAGTCGAGGAGTTTTTTACCAAGGCCTCTCAGGTTTTTTTCTCTTTCTTTTTATATTAAAAAGAGGGGCATACCTAAGAGGGTCGTTTTTAGGCCCGATCTAGCTGACTTTCTGCAACTCTACGATTTTTTAGCTTGTTGAAGGACTGCATTTTACGTAAAAATAATCTCTGAAGCTCTGAGACTTGATCTCAGAAAAAAGTAGCACGAATACCTTGATGCAACCAATCGCGATTGATTGCTCTCAGCAGTTGCAGGTATCTCTCTCCCACCGCACCGTGAGCTGTCTCTCTGTCTCTGTCGCACTTAGAGATATCCCGTAAGAAAAACTGGGACCAAGCTATGGCTTTTATTATTAAACTTTCAAAGCTCGCGTTTATTTCTAAGCATTCCAGACGTATGCTGCTAAAACTTATGAGTCTTAGAATTTAAAATATCTATTGTGATATTTAAATAATCACTGATCTCGGAGTCGGATTTTAGCAGCGCGACGTGCTGGATTTTTTCGAAGACACAGCTGAAGATTCACCTTTATGTGTTTTTAAAGATCCTGGGAGGCCTTGGTAAAAACCGTGAGTTAAATTGGTTGCAGGCGGTCACACTGAAAAAAAATTCTCGGCGTTTTTACCAAAGTCCGTTCGTACCTTTACCATCTCACTTTTTATACCAATTATTGGTAATTTTACCAAGACAGACTGGTAATATTACCTAAAAACCAGTATTTTTACTATTTTTTTTCAGGTAAGAATACCACTTTTATTGGAAATCAATCCCCGGTGACCTTGCCATTTTATCTCGGTAATTCTACCACAGTCGATAAAAAATATTGACGTTTTTACCAAGGTCCAGTAAAATTACCGAGAAAGTTCAACAATTTTACCGAGATTTCTCAGTAAAATTACCAATTCCATAAATGGTAATTTTACCAGGAAAAAACTGGAATCAAATAGAACCCTGAATTCTTGGTAATTTTACCCTTTTCTTGGTAAATACACCGAGATTTTTTTCCAGTGCAACACTGAGATTTATAGTTACGTCCATCGTGAGAGAAACAAAGTTTAATGTGTTTTTAAAAATCCTGAGAGGCCTTGGTCTTGGTGAAAAACGTGAGTTAAATTGGTTGCAGGCGGTCAAGGAGCGGGCTGGGATGGCGAGGAGGTTGAGACTTACCTATGACTGTAAGGTTGACTTTTGAGTTTCGGGTTTGAGCAAACTTGAAATCGACGCGGCAGCGGTAGACGCCGGCGTCGGACTCGCGGATGTGGTCGACCTGGAGGGCGGCCGGGACCCGCTCGGCTAAAAAATGGGCTCGCCGAGAGAACACCGTCTCGTCCGACCACCGCACCGCCTTCGAGAACTCCGAGCCTCGAGCGTCCATGCTGCAACAAAAACCGACAAAACCATCATTACAATTCCCACACAGGGTATCCGTTCATTTGAATCTCAGGTGGATCCAAGGGGGCGGGCGTAACCCCCCCCCCCCCCCCNGGTTCGCTGAAAAAAGAGGAAGAAACAAGCGGAAAAGCTCTGATATGTTCGTATTAAAGAAGAACTCTGCTGCTGCACTGGAAAAAAAACACATTGGATCTAGAGTCCAGACTCTTGAAAACATTGAGGGTGGTTTCACGATAACTGGAATAGTTTTGTCGCCGTAACAGACAACACATTTTTCGGTCATATTTTTAGTAGAAATGATAATCACTCAAATTTTTTTTGCATTAATCTTCAGAGGGTTGCGTATTATATAGCTTTCTATGATTTATTGCTCTACTTCTCAATTAATATTAGGTAAATTCCAAAAATGTGCTGTCTGTTACGCGGTAAAAAGTCAGCGTAACAGACAGCACATTTTCGACCTTTTATATATTAATATTGAAAAGTAGAGCTATAAATCTTTGAGAAATGTTACAACACGTAACCCTGTGTAGATGAATGCAAAAAAATTCGAGTGATTATCATTACTACCGAAAATATGACCGAAAAATGTGTTGTCTGTTACGGCGACAAAACTATTCCAGTTATTGTGAAACCACCCTTGACAAGAGAACATACTCTTGATTCAATGGGGTTTTTGCTTGAATCAAAAAGAAAGCTGCTTAAATTAAGAGGCTAGGTTCTTGATTTAAGCTAGATTCTGATTGAATCAAGAGTACTTTTTCTTGTCGGTGTTTTTAAGAGTCTGGACTATAGATCCAATGTGTTTTTTTTCCTGGTGTGTTGCCATGTGCAAGGAAAATAACAGATTGCATAATTAATAATTGAATTGTTAAAAAATGTCGACGGCGTAAGTCCACAATCGCATATCGACGGTGAAACTACCAAACCACGTATCTCGTTTGCGGTGTTTAAAAATCTACGCTCACATTTTATTTTTTTGAAATAGACCAAATCAATATCATTCCTTGAAATTTTCACGGAATTTTCTCCGCACAAAGAGGAAAAATCACAGAAATTTTCAAGACTGGATGTTGAGTAGTTTTTCATTTAAAAAATAAAGTATGACAGGAAGTCTGCGACGTCGCAAACCGAGATACGTGGTTTGGTAGTTTCACCGTCGATATCTCGTTTGCGGTTTCTAGGTTTAGGCGGTTTAGGCGCCATGGCCGNTTTTATTTTTTTGAAATAGACCAAATCAATATCATTCCTTGAAATTTTCACGGAATTTTCTCCGCACAAAGAGGAAAAATCACAGAAATTTTCAAGACTGGATGTTGAGTAGTTTTTCATTTAAAAAATAAAGTATGACAGGAAGTCTGCGACGTCGCAAACCGAGATACGTGGTTTGGTAGTTTCACCGTCGATATCTCGTTTGCGGTTTCTAAAAATATCCGCCTCCATGTAATGGATGGCGCCATGAATTTTTGGACCACCGCTAATATTTTGTACCGTAGTTCTTGATTTACTTTGCAAGGAAAGCTCCGCACTCTTAATATAAAGGACGCCTGTCATTCTTAAAACGTTGGAGCGCCTTCAATTTCGTATTGTACTGTGCAACACTTCCGTTGCGAAATAGTTGCCTGAAGTGCCGTGGCACGCGCGGCGCGGCGGGCGATTGCGCCTACAAACCTAACTAGGATACTTCACGCATTGCGCAATGCGTGAAGTATCCCAGTTAGGTTTGCAGGCGCCAGTGCGTATGTCGCGCTGACAGCACGCCGCTCATCTGTATTTGGCTGTAATATTTAAACTCGCGGAGTCGGCGTTTTTCAACTCATGATTTTGAAATGTTTGCACACTCTGCATGAATTATTGTCTTTTAAATTGATGAAAAAATAAATTGTATTAAAGGATAACGTAATGTGTGTTTTGTAAATATTGAGGTGGTTCCTTGTCAAATTCAATGATTTCCAGCACTTTAATTATTTTTTTTTTACATTTTGTGCTTTTATTGTGGTGCAGCATGGTGAACGCGCAATCAAACGCTCAAAATTGGACGTATTGGACTCTAAAAGATCGACGTACAACCTGGTTAAAACTATGAAGATTGCGTTCTCCCTGGTTTTTCCCCTCTTTTATTCATTTTTGTATGGTTCCTTTCACCACAACTATGGCTCATCGAGATTATTCGATAACATCGCTTGGGAAAAGGTTTTACAAATGTTTGCCATACGTTTTGAAAATGTATATTTTTTTTAAAATGAAGTGATATTTTCATTTAAAAATAAAATTAAATGTATTTACAAGGTGTATTTATATCGACAATTTTAAGGATAGAAAAAAAAACGTAATACTCACCAATGACAACTTAAAAAGATGAATCAAAGGAAGTGTGTAACATTTTATTTAAAAAATAAGATCTACATTGAAACATGTCGGATACTTTTTTAAACTAAAAAATTGTTAAATCAGCAATACATTTTTTTTCAGAGTAATCGCGTTTTTAAGTTCCCCGGAGAGGAAGAGCATCGTTTGGATTGAAGAGCTCGCAGGTTCATTTTTGTAATATTGCTCATTAGAGAACACGTGATTTGGATCACATTTTACAATGAGGAACCACTATCTCTGGCTCTTCCGTAAAAGCACCATTCTGCATACGGAAACGAATGGGATATATGTTGTCTCTAATATGAGTCAGAAAAAGTAGTTTGATTTTCAATGGCGTTAACAATCCATACAGATTCTTCCGATTTTCGAAACAATGATCGTAAAATTTTCTTTGTTACTGAAATGAATTTCGACACATGGGAAAGATCCCTCCATCGGGGAAATTCCTAAAAAAAACCCACAAACTTATCCAGTATCTTTCGGCGTTGAAAAATCCATGATAGTTCCAATTTATCATGGTTCACACTCGCGTTACATACGCATTAACATTCCATAAAAATTGTTCAGATTTTCGAATAAATACTCGTAAAATTTTCTTTCGACTAAAATGAATTTCGACACCAAAGGGAAAGATCCCTCGATCAGGGAAATTCCTAAAAAATCCCTGAAACTTTTCCGGTTTTTCTCGACGTTGAAAAATCCACGATAGTTCCCGTTCATCCTGGTCGCGGGATATCCCGATATACATTTCCTTGGGCTCGCGACGGGACGAGCATTTCTTTGATGAGAACGAACCCGTGGTGGNNNGTGGGGGGGGGGGGGGGAGGACGAACAAAAGCCGTGATTTGAGAGAGAGCAAACTCGGATTGATCCACCGCGCCGAGGGAGGGAACGGGGGGAGGGGGTCCGTAGGGGTACGAACCAAGGGGGATTTCTTTCACTCAGCATCGAGTTTCGGACGCTACAAAGGTAGTAATTTGTGTTGGAATGAAAAGCAGTGGGAGGAACTTATTGTGCTGCGCTAATTGAAGCCTCATCTCTATCAACTGTCGATGAAAACACCTCATCATTCCAACTACATTTCTCCCCTCCCTCTCTCGCCACAGTTGCTGTTCCCGAGAAGGGTGCGGCGAGGTGCCGGATTCCCCTTCGATTCGCGGTTTGCCTGGAAACTTGCCAGAAATCGTCGACGAGTTTTTCCGCGAAAACTGTAAGCATTACGGGGAAACATTAGTTAGCGAGGCCTGAAATTCGGCGCTGTGACGTGTTAGATTCATTATCAAGAGAACACCGTTTTCAAGGCGATATCTTGTTGCGCTGAGTGTAGGTACTTGTTGCGTAAGGAATAGGACGCTGACGCAATGCATGGACCAGAGAGGTACGAGGTTAAGCATTCTGAAACATGATTCTTAACGAAAATTTAGCGCAGAATACGATTCGTGCGACAAAAATTACTGAAATTGACTCCAAACCAAAATATTCAATAATTCTTGACGCGTGAATTCAAATCTCCCGCTCACGAAAACACAATGGTCTATTCATACGTCAGATCGCAAACTAAATGTTACCGCGGCAGTCTTTGCGATGCAAAAATATGGCAATCTCTATCTTGATGATTTGGCTCAGCTATAGTAAATTGTGTAAAGTTTGAACAATACAGGGTGGGAAATGAACAATGTTTGATTGAAAGGCCTGCCAAAACCGTTGTAGTGCGCAATTTGACTCACGCAGAGTATTGTGTTTCTTCTGACCGGGCAATTCAAATTTCCCGTGACCAATTTAAAGTTAAAACGTTAATATCTTAGTTAAGAATTTATCTCAGTAATTTTTGACGCAAGAATCGTGTTCTACAAGAAATTCTGGGTAGGAAATATGAATCAGAATGTTTTTATTTGTGCCTTGTCTTGTGGACCATTCAAACTTAACGCTGTGAAAAAGGACGTATGTTTCTCGGCTTGTCCCTGTAAGATAACATTTGTCTGTGCTACCTAATTTAATGTGAATTCATTATTTATTTGATAATTAGGTTTTAAGCCTCTTTTATGATTATGAATTACCCACTTTGGAAAAAAACCTAACTTTTAGGAAGAGAAAGGAAAAACAGGGGGAGGACTGATAGAATAAGTTTTCGATACAATTTAAATTCGACAACGTATGTCCTAGAAAAAAAAATGCAAAATCTAATATTTTCAACAACATATCTTCGAAACTATATTTTTGAATTGTAAACGTCAAGCTGCCATAGCTCCAAATCCCTATCTAAAATCTGAATTTTTTTTCTAATCTGAAACTTCGGGAGTTTTTGTGAACATAAGTTTCGTGGACTTCTCAGTGCTGTAGTTTAAACGATCGAATTCAAAGTTCTCATCTGTTGTGTTTCGCTGTATTTTTAAGCCTTCGGGTGCACAGACATTAAATTAAGGCGAATATACTCCGATAAAAATGAGTATTCGAGGAATCGGAGAGATTATGTCTAAATGGCTCAATTTTGAGTGGATACGGACGGTTAGACATCGGTAAACACACCCGAATTAATGTATTTTTTATTATTTAAGATGCGCGTAACCATTAAGCCAGGGCGGATCTCTAGGAAATACCGCGTGGAAAATGCGAG